ACTTTAATCCAATTTCAACAATTTAGAAACTTAAAAAACAAACAAACAGGAAATTGTTCAAACCCATCCTTTTCTGCAAAAAGTTTTGGTATCAACGAATCAGCATTTTCCAACAAAAAAAATTTTTTGCTGAAAAATTCCCCTCTGGCTGTAAAATTCACATACTACTACAACCAGAGAAATGCCTGCTATACCCAAACTTAAATGTGGTGAACTGCAGGAACAAAAGATAGGCTGAAATTTCCAAAGGCGCCTGACAATTTGGAAGCCCAATGCCCACTAAAATTCATGGGAATTGAGTTTCCATGTCCCGCGGGCAAGTTTGAAAATATAAACCTGAATGGTTCATTAAGTGTTGGAATTTTTGTCTCCTAAGTTACATGGGTGCTTTTAAAAATATTACCCATAGCTGAGCTTAGTGCACAGTTAGCTGTGATTTTTCTAGTGATTAGTCTAACAGTGCTTATAGTGTACTTAGCATCCACGTGTGACTTTGCTCTTCATTTGCTGGCCCCAGCTACTAACACTGGGATTGGTAGAATAGAAGTTGTGCAAGGAGAATGAAGAAATGCTGCTTACTTTCTGCCTCGTGGGTTGCTTGTGATTGGGACAGGAGCTAGTCCTGTGTGAAGGAAGAAAGTAACTCAGGCCCAGATCCTCAAAGGTATTGAGGCACCTATATTCCATTGAAATCAATGGGAGTTAAGCACGTAAATACCTCTGAGGATCTGGGACTCAGTCTCCAAGTGGAAGGATTGCAGTAATGCTCTCTCAGGGGTGAGGTTTAGAGGTCAATTGCATTTTATTAGAGAAAAGGTACCATTAATGCTTTAGTGGTGGTACACAGAAGCACACCAGTTATGGACAGTCTGGTTCAGAGCATTTGCTGTCATGTGTTGCCTTAGTTGTGGTTCTGATAGGGAAACAGCATACCAGTTTATTTAAAAATAAGACTCCTAACCCCACCCCTGTCCCTGCGAATTAGAGAGAATCCCAACACAACCCAGATAGCAGAAGTTTTAGTTTGCTTCTTTGAGTATTCCTGGTCTACCTGACCAGCAGGCACTCTTCAAAAGCCTAAACTCTTCTACAGTTTATTGTTAAAATGTTTTATTTGGGACAATGGTGTGTTCTCAGTCATGGGTTGTTTTTTTTAAAACATACAGACTTTCCAATCAGCTTCTAGCTCCAACAGACATTACTCTCTGGAGCAGCCCACTGGAATATTAATATTAATATAGTCATAGTTTGCTCACCAACAGAAGTCCCTTCCCATCTTGCTGCTGACAGGGCTCAAGGGAGGAGAGGCGTAATCACTAGGATAATCTGAGCTCTTCAATGTATTTTCTAACTGGTCATTTAAAGTAATTTGTCTAAAAAAAGCTAAAAATGGCTGAGAATTTAAAAACTGGATGGTAACAGCCCACAAATTCAGTGATGATTCAACCTGGTGATGACTCATGGCCACTGTTCTATGGGATGTATAAGTGAGGCTGGCCAAATGAGAGTGTGGTGCTGGGAAAGTAGTGTTACATTGTGTGCTTGGCAAATGAGGGGTATATGCTGTAGTGAGGGGCTATATGTGTTTGGGGGCTTTTGTGGGTCCTGGTTGTGTGTTGGCGGGTGTTTTGAAGAACGGTGGCAGTTGGGCCAGGTAATCCATCATCTGTGCAGTCTCCCTCACACAACCAATGAAATTGTTGCATACAAATTAGCTATAGAGTAAGGGTGGTGATTGGTTAAGTTACCTGAGATTGCACAATGGTCTAGGATTCTTGGAATGGCATAGATACATGTCTTATTGTAGCTGAAAGCCTGTGCTGTTGCATAGGTATAATTCATAAAGTCAAAATGGCTGAGACCTTTAAAAATTATATGTTAACAGACCACAAATCCTAGTGATTATTCAGACTGGTGATATTCTTAACAAAAAGAACTCTCCACTATGCTTGTAGCTGTTTCCATTGCTTCACACTGACTCTCAGATATTCTAAGCCTGAGTGACACGCAGAAAGAATGACAATCCTAGAATTTTATTATAGGTAAGGCTACGTTTATGTCATGGAGGTCATGGAAGTCACGGAATCCGCGATTTCCAGAGACCTCCGTGACATTCTCTGCTTCAGCCCCAGGGGCTCGGGACTCTGGCGCTGGCAGCCAGCGAGGCCCTGGCAGGGTTCCAGCGACAGGCAACAGCAGCGACAAGTGACAGGGGAGGGGGGCACCTGCAAAGTTCCAGCGATAGGTGACAGACTCCTGAGGGGGCCCTCCTCAGGGTTCCAGCGACAGGCAACAGCCTCGTGTGGGAAGAGGGGGATGCCTTGGACGAACGGCTGGGGTGTCCCGTTTTCTCTTTGGGAAATATGGTCACCCTGCAGCTCCCAGCCACTGTAGGCAGAGGGGGAATCCTGCAGCTCCCAGCAACCACAGTTGTGGGGGAAAGCAGCATGGAGCCGCAGCAGCAAAAGTCACAGACAGGTCACGGCTTTCATGAATGTTTGTTTATTGCCCGTGACCGGTCCATGACTTTTACTGAAAATAACCATGACAAAATCTTAGCCTTAATTATAGATACTGAATTGTAATAGTAGTAATCTCCATTGGCTGTGGGATGTTCTGGTCAGATAATGCACCTGGCTGGCTGTCATGGCTCCTTGCTTTCAGGTTGGGATATATAATTCCCCATCACAAATCTAGAACTCAGATGACAGTTACTTATAATTTGGGTCATTAATACAAATCAAAGGCTTGATCCTGAAAACGCTTACCCCGGTGAGTAGATTCATGGATATTAATGTCGCTTCAAGAGCACAACTCACCATTATGAGTAGGGCCCTACCAAATTCACGGTCTATTTTGGTCAATTTCATGGTCATAGGATTTTAAAAATCGTAAATGTCATGATTTCAGCTATTTAAATCTGAAATTTCATGGTGTTGTAATTGTAGGGTCCTGACCCAAAAAGGAGTTGTGGAGCGGGGTGTTGCAAGGTTATTATATGGGGGGTTGCAGTATTGCTACCCTTACTGCCTTCAGTGCTGGGCAGCTGGAGAGCAACGGTACTGGCCAGGTGCTAAACTCTGGTATGGTAATGCCACCCTTACTTCTGTGCTGCTGCTGGCGGGGCGCTGCCTTCAGAGCTGGGCGCCCGGCCAACAGCCGCCGTTCTCTGGCGACCCAGTTCTGAAGGCAGCACAGAATTAAGGATGGCAGTACTGTGGCCCCCTAAAATAACCTTGCGATTCCCCCCTCACCCCCGCAGCTCCCTTTTGGGTCAGGACCTCCAATTGGAGAAATGCTGGTCTCCCCTGTGAAATCTGCATAGTATGCAGTGGTTCTCAAAGTTTTTTTTTTCGCGGACCACTTGAAAATTGCTGAGGGTCTCAGCGGACCACTTAATGATCTTTCCAAATGTTGTTTTATCCAAAGTGCTTTACAATAGTTAGCTAATGGTACAAAGTGCTATATAAAAAAACCCTTAATAATAATTAACTATTTTTGTTCTATAAATAAAAGCACACAACTCATATTTTAATACACCTCTACCCTGATATAACACGACCCAATATAAAATGAATTTGGATATAACACGGTAAAGCAGTGCTCCGGGGGTTGGGGGGCTGCGCACTCCAGCAGATCAAAGCAAGTTCGATATAATGCGGTTTCACTTATAACACAGTAAGATTTTTTGGCTCCCGAGGACAGTGTTATATCAGGGTAGAGATGTATCAGTAGTCTTACCTCTCTAATGCGATGGATGTGCCCTCTCTTCCCCGCCACGGCAGCCCCTGAGCTGGGACTGGGAAGGAGGGGGGTCTCTCCCTCTCTCCCCAGCCACAGCAGCCACAGAGCTGAGACTGGGAAGGAGGGCTGTCTCTCCCCAGCAGCCGCAGCCCTGGAGCTGGCTTTCTCTGGCCGCCACAGCTCTGCATATTCCAAATTCCCACCAGTGGCGTAGCCAGGATCCAAGAGCAGGGGAAGCAAACATAAAAAAGGCACCCCCCTTTGGCTCCTCCTCTGGCCACGCCCCCCTTGGCTCCTCTTCTGGCCGTTCCGCGCCCCTCCCTTGGCTGGCTCCTCCGGCTGTGCCGTCCCCCACATTGGCTGCCGGCCGCCATGCTGCGCCCCCCTTGCTCCTCCGGCCACGGCTGCCGGCCGTGCTGTGGGCCGCCTTGCTGCACCCCCCCTTGCTCTACCTCCTCCGGCCGTGCCCGCCACCCCGGCCCATTGGCTGCGGGCCGCGCTGCAGGCCGCCCTGCTGTGCCCCCCCTCGCTTCTCCGGCCGCGGCTGCAGGCCGCCCTGTTGCGCCCCCCCTCACTACCCCGGCCACGGCCGCTGGCCGCCCTGTGCGGGCCTCCCTGCTGCGCCCCCCCTCGCTCCTCCGGCTGCGGTTGCCGGCCACGCTGTGCGGGCCACCATGCTGCGCCTCCCCCCTCGCTCTGCCTCCTCCGGCCGCGCCCCCCCATTGGCTGCCGGCCGTGCTGCGGGCTGCTTCCCCTGCACCCCACTAGCTACGCTACTGATTCCCACCACCCCCTCTTCTCACCCAACTGCCTTCTCCCACCTTCTTCCTATTCCCCCCAAGGCCACCACTCACCTTACATGTTCATCTTCTCCAGGGGTCCAGGCATCTAATTAGGTGGGTTGGCCCTTCATTCTTCTGTGTACGGCCACCCAGGCGCACATCTTAGAGGGAACTATCCGCTGGCCACCTGAATGGAGCTCGTGGACCACTGGTGATCCGCGGACCACAGCTTGAGAACCTCTGGTATAGGGTAAAAGCACACAAAAGACCAGATTTCATGGTTTGAATGCATTTTTCATGGATGTGAATTTGGTAGAGCCCTAGTCGTAACACAGTAAAGTTGGGAAATTAATTGGTTATCAGAGAGCAGGGCACACAGTATTAGCAATTGTGAAAATTGCTTAGAATGTTGATAAGACTATTGGAAGACCCTTGATTTTTTCCTATCACTCTTATCTGTTGATTTACTTCCAGGTGTGTGGAGGTCTTTTACATTTACTTTCATGCGGGGAGATTTGAAGAGCCTTATGTCAGCATCACCAAGAAGAGGCAGATGCCTAAAGATGGACATTCAGAAGAAGTTGAGAAGGAAGTGGGCCAGGCTGAAGGCAAACTGTTTACACATAGATCTGCATTCAGCAGGGCATCTGTGATCCAGGCTTTCCTCGGCTCCGCGCCTCAGCTGACACTTCAGCTGTATATATGTGTCCTGCAGCAGGAGATCACAGCAGCTAGAAGTATGTATAGTTTGTGTCCAGTCTATATATTGGTGGAATGAGAGTTGGAGGGTCAGAGGTTACTCTCTGCTGAGCTGCCTTCCTTTGCCTCAGCTGGAGGAACAGGTTTGAAACAACTTCATTTGCTGGGCACATTCCAGTGGGTTTCAGCCAGCTGTTACTTTGTACTGCACCCAGGTTCTCCTCTACCCTATCAAATTTTGATTTAAAGCACTTATTGTGGCATCTTTTGAGCGCTGTATAAAAAGCAATCTTGTAGATCATGGCTAGGGTGACCAGACAGCAAGTGTGAAAAATCGGGACGGGGGGTGGGGGGTAATACGAGTCTATATAAGAAAAAGACCCAAAAATCGGGACTGTCCCTATAAAATCAGGACATCTGGTCACCCTAATCATGGCATGAGAAGGAGACAGCTTATCAAGGAGACAGAGGAATTGAGCTATATTTAAGGAGAAAAAAATTGCCCTGTGTTCCCCATTAAACACTTGGCCTGGGTATATGGTAGAGCATAATTTCTCCATGCTGGAACAAAGAACTACTACTTTAAGAAATAAATAAAATACATACAGAGAAACCTTAAAGGATTTCTTCTTCCTTGGCTGTTGCCAAGGTAGCCCTTGCTTCTGCTGTGGCACCAGAAGGACATGGGCCTGTGCTTCCCCAGCTGACGTTCTCTAAGGCCCAGTTATCAATCAGGTAAGAAGAGGAAGGATTTGATCAGCTCAGTGAGCTTTAGGTAGCTGCCTCAGCAAAGGTGCTTCCCTGCCAGATTACTGAATGGGTCCTTTGGCTGAGAAGCCCAGGCAGGCTACGCACCTTTGTTGGTTTCGCAGCTAGGGAAGCCTCGAGAAGAGCCCCATCTAACAACATATCTAAATATTGTACTTTAGCTGCAACTTGGGGAGAGGGCAGGTATGCACATGCAGGTTCTGGCTCACTAGTGAGGACAGTTATGATGGTGGCAGCTGTCATCTCACTCAGGGCCGCCCCTAGCTATTTTGCTGCCCTATGCAGCCCCCCATGGGGGGGCTGTGGGGGGCCCCGCCCCAGGACTCCGCAGAAGGGGGAGGTCTGGCCCCAGGTCTCCGGGGCGGACAGGGGGAGTGGGGCTGGCCTCTTCCTGCGGGAAGTGGAGTGACCCAGACCCAGCCTGCTTTGCTCCCCTGGCTCCCAGGCTTGGGGGAAAGGGGAACCACCCCCCAGCACTCACCGGCGGCGCAGGTGGGAGCCAGGGGAGTGGAGCAGGCTGGGGCCGGGTCGCTCTACTTACTGGTCAGTGCAGGCCCAACTGCTTCTGGAGTCCTCAGGGGAGTGGGGGCGGGGCTGGAGTGGAGTGGAGCAGGGGCGGGAGCCCTGGGGAAGAGCCGGAGCAGGGGCTGGAGCAGCGCGCAGTTGCACAGGGCACCAGGAAATGTGGTGCCCCAAATTTCCTGGGGCCCTACACAGCTGCGTACTTTGCATATCGGTAAGGGTGGCCCTGATCTCACTGACTCATTAAGTATGAAACGTAGGTCTAAGTTGATGGTCAGAGAGGCAGATGATTTTGTCCCACTGACGATCAACTGACCCCTTGTCATTTTTATTACACTTCTCACCTGGGCTGCATGACAGCATGCAACCGATGTGGTCTGTCGACTGAGCTGAAGTATTCATTTTAGATGTAATGGGCACTTCCCCCATCACACTGTATGCTCCTTGTATCACCTTGCACAGAAAACAAGTAGGCGGAGCTGACTGTAGACCAGGACCTCCCATATGGCAGGTGTGCTGATGCTGCTGACAAAAGATGCTTACAAAAAATTCAAGTCATAGTCTGTGCGTCCAGCAAAGCTGTGTTTCTACGACCCCATGCACACACCTTTGCATTCTTTAGCAATACAACAGTGCTGATTTAGAGGTGATGCACCCTAGTTAGAAGGCGCAGCTCAGCATGCAAAGAGATTGAAAGAGTGAAATTTAGACTGATCAGGTTATGGCCAGGTGTACGGCAAGCACACAGCATACAGGCTTTCCACACATATCTGTCAAAGTACCTCACTGCTGACTGGCAGCAGCCTTCTTTTCCATGTTGGGATATACACACTGCATTTTTTTGACATTATGACATAGTGAAATGGTCACAAGAGACTGGACTAAGATCACTGAACAAATTACTTATTCAAAGCTAGTCAATTAGCCTTTGGCAATGGTACTTTTTAAACAGCCAAAATGAAGTTTCCTTTTCCAGGCCTCTCAAAAGCAATGGATTTACTTGTACAGGGAACTGGGTTTTCACAGTGCAATGTCCATTACCAGCATGAATGCATCTAAAGCAGCTGGCACTAAGGAATTAATCAGCATATAGTGATATTATGTCATCATAAGCAGCTGCCAGCTTTATTTTTAAAGGCACCCAAAGTGCTTATTTAGGCACATAGCTGTGTAGATTATTGAAAGACAAAGCATTGCTCTGGCTACTTCATTGTGCCTGACAGCTAAGATGAATTAATCATGTGCAGGGTGAACCATGGCATGGGGATGAGAACAGAATGGAAGTACCCTGCATTGAGCAACGTAATTAGCACTTGGGCTCCAAGTGCTGATCTGCAGATGGCGTTTACTTCAGAAAGATCATCTGGGTTGTTTTTCCCCGTTAGTACTGTTGGCTGCTAGTCGCTGTCACCAAGAAGAAAGGCTCTGTCTCGGGTCATTAGGATTGATAGAGAATAACAAATACAATGGCAATTGGTACGTTCACCAAAACCAAACACGCAAGAAACTTCACAGAGTTCTAAATCACAGATTCATAAGCAAATTCCTCCACTCAGGCAAAGACAGCAGCTACCATGCATGCCACATCCTCTCCCTCCACGCCTGGCTTGGAGCAGCCTAGAGCAGATAAGTGTCACTATATAATACTGAATGAAAGGGACCGACTGATTACTTGGAAAGCATTGCACCTGTGTCTTCACAGACAGTGATCCTTCCTTCAGACATTTGGGACTTATTTCTTTGTAACTTTCAAATCTGAACTTAAACCCGTTTTAAACAGGAGGCTGAAAGTTGGCCAGAGTGCATTTGTTTAGTCTGTGAATGAATGCATGTTGCCATGGGTGCCTCTTCTCATAAGCTGTAGTACTGAGGAGGACCTAAATCAAGGACAAGAAGGACTTTCTTATACCGAGAGTTAAATGTGGTGCTATTTATCTGCTCACAGCTTATTTGTGTTGAAATTGTTTGGATGAATGTAGTACTTGTGAAAGGTACCACAGACACTTGGGCGATGGTGTGAATGTGGGGGTACCATGGTCTAGGGGTTAGAACGGGGTTAGGAATCAGGAGGCTTCAGTTCTGTGCTTCTCTGCTGCTGATTTGCTGTGTGTCCTTGGGCAAATCATGGAATGTCTCTCGTCTCAGTTGCTTCTTCACTTGTACAATACTTACCCACATTTATAAAGTGCTTTGAGAACTCAAATAAAGCTTCATGAATTAGTCACAGAAAGGCTCATGGCACAGGCTGTAGCACATCAAGGTTCTCCACACCACATCACTCCACTAATTCTCCATGCCCCAGTCCTTCGTCTCCTTGCTTAGACTGTCATCAACAGAGTTAAAATAACCTTCAATTACTGTATATTTTGACAGGATTATCTCTTAACTCCCTTACCCTAGGAAATGGATGGATTTCCTACTGTTATAGCAGCTTCTTTTGAAAAAGATTTTGTTAAAGAAGGTGGTAATTGTGACTATAACTCTTATGAAAAGAGGCAGTATCTGATTACATGGCCTTTGAAACACATTTGTTTCTGCAACATGACAAACCTAGTGAATATAAACTGGGATTTTTGGCAAGGACGGAGAAGCATTATGTGATTTCGAGGCATCGTTGCCAATGCCAGATATATTAAGATGCTGCGGCAGATTCTGCTATCCCAGCAAGCTGTCAACCACAGAACTCTTCCTTGTCAGTAGTTAGGACAACATTTTTAAGAGGTGTGGGATACTTTTCAGTATTATTAATAAGTGTTTTTAAAGAGGGAAATTATGGATTTAGACCATATTTTCACATCTGGGTCCCAAACCTTAGGTACCAAAATAAGTGGCCTTATTTTTAGAGTGGCCTGAGCACAGGTTTAGGTAACTAACTGTACAGACCGAAGATTGAAAAATCTGGATTTAGTGGCTAGGTTCTGCTAGGTGTCAGTATTGTTAGCATACCATGGTATGACTCACGTAGGGCAGCAGTCACCCTCATGTTACTAAGAGGTGGGGAAGGACAGGCTTTGTCAGCCATAAGTCATTAAAAAAACAAAAACGTAGGAGTGCTAGAAGTAGAGTGTCACTCAAACCACTGGTTCTTAAAAAGAATACTGCCCCAATCTTCCAAGGAGAGCGGAATCCTTTATCATACAGCACTGCTATTGAGGGATTTAGGACAGCTTTAGGGGAAAATCTTTGACTCCATCATCCCCTCACTTCCTCACTGATCTTCATAGTGGGTGCTGAGCCAGGGACAGGTCCACTGCAGGCAATGTTATTCCTTTACATTTTCTTCCCTGGCTGCCCCACAGTATCATTCCCACTGGCTTGATTGTGGCATTTGGATTGATGACAGGTAGGCTGTTACAAGCATGGGACTTCGGGTATAGAGGAAGCTTGGGCTACAACCCGATGCTGTACATGATTGCTACCAATGGGAAAATACCCATTCAGAATAGGAAGTAGCTTCCAGGAGCTGCGAGGGCAAATGGGTTAAAGAGATTTTTTTTTTAATCACTAAAGGGGGACCAGGTAGTGTTCTGAACGCTTGCCAGCTTGTCAAACAGGTGGCAAGCAGCTTTTCAGTACAATCTTTCTGAGCCAGGAAAACAGTTTTAGTGAGAGCATTCACTTTATTAACAAAATTGCAAAAAAATTTTTTGCTTAATTAGCTCTTAAAAGTTATTTGCTCTTGTGGTTCCAGAGCCAGTTCTGAACTTGAGAAAAGATTTCTAAGAGTGCTGAAAGAACAGGCTCTCATTGGTATTCATAACTGTGTTCACTTGCTGTTCTGCTTTAGGCCAGTAGTCTGTAGGAGACAATGTTTTAAAAAATCCTCATACCGTGTACGAAACATAGGAATTTGTTTTTAAGGAAAAAATGCTAAAAATTCAAGTGATAAATAAGCAAATACATAATGCATTTTACAGGAGAAATCCTTCCCCATAACGGAACATGCATGTTGCTATATACTACTGTAATTGTTATTTGGCCTTACAAACTGATATTGGGTGTCTAAATACATGGATAATTCCTTCTCAGACATTCTATTCCAAATTAATTGAGGGATGTTTCAAGACACACTGGTAGTTAAAATGTACAAGGAAAATCCCCCTAGTTACTCCAAGATCCTAAAATAGCTCCATTTCTTACAGAGTCATGTTCAGAGATTAATTCCTTCAAACAGAAGAACCTCATGAGCATGGTTAAATAGCTGTAATAAAGAAGTGAATACGGTCCTTTTGGAGGATAATGAAGCATACACTAATTGAAGGTTGCAGACAGCACTGGTTGCTAGCACTAAATTAAAATAATTGAAATGACAATTAAGATCTACCTAATCTGTTTCTATTTTATTAGATAAAATAAGATAATGTGCTGTAGCATCACCAATTAGTTTAATATTCAGCAAATATTTTCCCCTAAACTCTAAAAGAAATGACTGTATCATTTATTGTTTTTACTTTAATTGTTTGCATTTAAAACACTCCTGTGTATTAAAATGCAAAGGTTAAGGCTAAAAATTTCAAACATGAATGCCTAAAACTTGGGTCTTAAATCTATAATTCAACACCTAAAATAAAAGTGGTCTGATTTTCAAGGGTGCCAAACATACGCAGCACCCAGCAGTGTTGTGGCTGCTCAGCACTTCTGAAAAATCAAGCCACATATTTTTAGGTGCCTAATTATAGATTGAGGAGTCTTAACTTTAGGCATCAGGTTTGAAAACTCTGTTCTCGTTTGTCTGGGTCTGCTGATGCATTTTTTCAGTATCTTAATTTACAGCTCAAATCCCGGTAGTCAGGTAAAAAAGCACTTTAGCAACTGATATTATGGAGTATCAAAATGCTGCTGTCACGGTTTCACGTGAAACTGAGTTCAGATACTGCATGACAGTTCCGAACTCCCATTTTCATGGCGAGAGGCTGCACTTTGCTGCTATAAGTGCCTGGGAGCTTTGTAAGGAGATGCCCATCCCGGCAACACAAAGCCTTGCTATAGTGCCAGCAGCTGTCACCTTAGGTGCCAGACACAAAACACTCTTTGCAGTGTTTAAATAACAATGAAGCCCCTTCACTTGAGGAATCAATCATAAGTAGGTGTGGGGGAAATGCAGAAGGATGGATTTCCATAGCTACAAGTTAGCAGCTCTAAATTCAGTCCGGCAGGTTCTATAATTTTGCGGGAGCTAGAGAAATAAAGAAAATAAAACGTAGTCAGGTGAATAAATGTTCAGTCGATGCCACATATATCTTTTCCACAAAGAGACGGAGGAGGTTCAGTGGCTAGGGTGCTGGCCTGTAACATGTGGGTTCAATTCTCAGCTCCACCACACACTTCCTGTGTGACCATCAGCAAGTCTCTGTGCCTCAGTTCCCTCTCCGTAAAACTGCCCTACCTCACAGGAGTGTTGTGAGGGATAAATCCATTAGAGATTGTGAGGCACTCAGATACTACAGTGAGGGGGGCCATATAAGTACCTCAGACAGACAGATATTGCAAAAACAATAGAGCTTGGAAAAAACACTTTAAATCTTTTGGTTTCTTCAGCATTCCCCATCTAGAAAATAGGGATAATAGTACCTTTGTAAATCTTTTTGAAATCCTAGGTTGAAAAGCACTATGCTATTGCAAAGTATTATTTTATTAAAGCATTTACATAGTGTTTGGGGTTGTTGTTTTTTACAAATGTCCCAAGGTGTTTCCTAATTTACAGCCAGATAAAAGTTGCATCAGACATAAAACACCGTGAGCTGTGATTTTAAAAACTAACTCAGCTAGTCCACGAAAGCTTATGCTCTAATAAATTTGTTAGTCTCTAAGGTGCCACAAGTACTCCTGTTCTTCTTTCAGCCTACCACTAGTCACTAATCGATGGGTGGTTGATTCCATAGGTGTGAGCACCATTGCCAAAATCCCATGCCCAAAGGTTATTCCCCCAAGTAACCTTTATGATCACAGTCGGTAGGGTGCCAGTAACAGCCTGTGATCCGTGTCTGATCAACTGACCACACACAGTGTAGTTAGTTAGATCTTTTCCATTCATGGTCAAATAAACTAGGTATTAGCTGCTACCAAGTTCATCCTTGTTTTTAGTATGCAAGTTTGGTAGGGAGAAGGGCTCCCTCTGTAAGGGTGAGGTAGTATGTTTTGACCACAATTGCTAGACTCTGTTTCCTTTTGAGGAGAGTGGGACAGACATTGCTTTCTGCTACTTTTCTGCTCCCCTCATCTCCCAATCCTGGAGCCGTCCAGGAGCTGGTTTAGCCCTTGGCAGAAGCTAGAATAACCTCAGAGGCTCTAACTTTTGCTGGCAGGAACAACGCCATAGAGGTCATTCTGTCAGCCCTGGATTGCCGGAGCACAGTGCACTCTGGTGATGCTCCCATCTACTGTGACCACACCCCCTACATCAGTGAAAAGACGGGGTCAGGAGTGGGTGGGGTGTAGAATGGCTGCATACTACTTAGGGATTCCCCCTTGAGCGGTGGTGCCCAAACTTTTCTTGTCGCGCTCCCCCCCCCCCCTTACCAGTAATGGCCTCTGTCCGCACCCCCCCTTCATTACTGCACAGTTGGCTCAGCAGAGGAGCTTAGGCTGAAGGTGGAGCTGGGGGCATAACTGAGGAGGGGGGAAGGAGCTGGGGCTGGAAGTGGAGCTGGCCTGGGGGTGGAGAGCGAGTGAGGGCAGAGCTGGGCTGGGGGCAGAGCTAGGGTTGCCAGCCGTCCGGTTTTCGACTGGAACACCCAGTCGAAAAGGGACCCTGGCAGGTCTGGTCAGCACAGCTGACTGGGCTGCTAAAAGTCTGGTTGGCCGCAAACGCCGCCAGCTCCACGAGGCTTCCAGAAGCTGCCAGCATGTCCTCCGGCTTCTAGGCGCAGGGGTGGCCAGGGGGCTCTGTGTGCTGCCCCCGCCCGAGCACCAGCTCCTTAGCTCCCATTGGTTGGGAACTGCAGCCAATGGGAGCTGCGGGGGAGTGCCTGCAGCTGGGGTCAGCACGCGGAGTCCCCTGGACGCTCCTGTGTATAGAAGCCAGAGGGACATGCCAGCTGCTTCTGGGAGCTGCCTGAGGTAAGTGAGACCCCAAACCCCCTTCCGCACCCCAACCCCCTGCCCCAGCCCTTAGCCCCCTCCAACATTCTGAACCTCTCAGCTCCACCTCCGAGCCCAGAGCCCCCTCACATACCCCAACCCTCTGCCCCAGCTGGGTGAAAATGGCAGGGGTGGGGCAAGGGTGTTCGGTTTTCTGCAATCAGAAAGTTGGCAACCCTAGACAGAGTGGGGGCAAAGCGGAGCTGCGGTTGGCACCAGGGCCGGAGCTGGGCTGGAGATAGAGTGGAGCTGTATGTGGAGTTGGGGAGCTGGGCTGGGAGCAGAGCGGGGCTGGGTGGCACTCTCCACCCCCTGTGAGGGCTGGCCTGGGCCCCACTGCACGCTCCCCCCAAACGTTCCTCCACACCTCATAGGGGGCATGCCCCACAGTTTGGGGTCCACTGCCCTAGAGAAGGGAAGTCCCTGGCTGCCCTGTTAAAGCAGCTTTCCAGTTGCTTTGTACTATCTGAATGTGTTTCATTTAACATGTGCTAAAACTGAAGGTTCTGATCATCTTTTCTTTTCCCAGGCATCTTCATGGTCCTTTCTCTGCTGTCGATTGTATATGGTGCATTACGCTGCAACATCCTCGCCATTAAGATTAAGTATGATGATTATGACGTCAGCGTGAAAGCTGCAGCCTACCTCTGCATATTCCTCTGGAGAAGCTTTGAGATTGCCACCCGGGTTGTAGTCCTGGTCCTTTTCAGTTCTGTGCTTCAAATCTGGGTCCTGCCTGTGGTGCTCCTGAATTTCTTTGGCTTTTTCTTTTACCCCTGGATTCTCTTTTGGCAAAGCAAGTCCCCTTTCCCTGAAAACATAGAGAAGGCTTTGACCAGGGTGGGCACAACCATTGTACTGTGCCTCCTCACCTTCTTGTATGCTGGCATTAACATGTTCTGCTGGTCAGCAGTGCAGCTGAAGCTAAATGATCCTGACTTAATTAACAAATCCCAAAATTGGTACCGACTGGCTGTATATTATATGCTAAGGTTCATTGAGAATGCCTTCCTCCTCTTGCTGTGGTATGTCTATAAAACAGACGTCTACCTGTATGTGTGTGCCCCTTTATTAGTCTTGCAGCTGCTGATTGGCTATTGCATGGCCATCCTGTTCATGCTGGTGTTCTACCAATTCTGCCACCCATGCAAAAAGCTCTTCTCGTCCAGTATTTCAGAAGGTTTGCTGTCGTGTTTCAAGTACCTCTGCTTTGCTTGCAAACTGCCTAAGGCCGCCGCGCCTGTGGATAAGGCAGACTTGAAATCACCAGATGGTATTGGTGATGATGCACAGGCCAGTTACAAGACAAATGAGTCTCAGAATGGGAATCCGCATCAGAGTGTTTCTTCCAATGCGTAAAGTGGCTAGTGGCAAGCAGGCAGAACTGGAAAGCTACTGCACGCTTACCCAAAGCATTGTGTACCTTGGACTCTGAGCCTTGTTAATTTTTCTGCCAGTGCAGCTGTACTGCATGGGTACTCTGACATGCATATGGCACACTTGACACATGTACACATACAGCAACCACTGTCTGTGGATTTATATTACATGGTGATTCCACACAGAGGTTTATCATCTGCTTAGTCTGAAATCCCTACAGGAGACATCTTTAAATTGTAGCAAAATAGACCTGACCCTGGTCTGGTTCATTCAGGAGGTCTGAGGAGAATGAGAAGACCTAGGAAATGCAATATGTAGAGAATGTCATGAGAGCAGGCCACTTCAGCATGGAAGCTGAGCATGGTACTGGACTACCTAGTAATTGTAGATGATTAGCTGTGGTCTAGCTGGTTTTCTGCTTTTCAGATAATCAGCTCTTACATCCTGACTGGTGCAATACCATACCACAGGCTTTTGTGACATCAGGATTGGACTGCTGCAAGGCATTCTATACTAGGCTGCCTACGACGCAGGCCAGTTCCCTACTGCTGGTATTGGAGCATGATTATTTCTGAGACTGGCCAGAGGGCATTAGGCTGATGCACTCTTTCACTGTCTGCATTTGCTGCTGCTTGGTTTGTAGATCGAGTTTAAAGTATTCACTGTAATGTTTAAAGCCTTGAATGGACGGGGTGTCGTGTACATTACCAAACGCCCAACACAATATCTCTAACTAGAGGCAGAGCCATATCAATCGGTCGTATAGCAGCAGAAGAAATTCAGCCCATCTTTTTTATTTAATGTTATGTTTTGGTTATCACAGCATCAGTATTTTGGACTACCTTGCCCTGTTGGCTTCAGAAGTGCCAGAGATTTGGGTCCTTTTAAAAGAGGAGCTTAAAGACTTTTTCGCACAACATCACCTTGATTAATCAAAATGATTTGTGTGCTTCATAAGGTGCTGAGAACACTTTGGCAGCTGGGCACCCCAGAAAGACAGTTTATTCGGAGCATTTTAAAAAGAGGTTTGTTTTGTTTTAAAATGCAATCCATGGACTGCAAGTCTGAAGAATGTATTCACTTATTCAGCCTTTCATGTTTGATTCAGCGCCTTGTGTTTGTCCTGAGCCTAACACACTGTGGGTGGCACTGGAAACAAATGACAGGAATTCATTAATTGGAATTCCTTTTACCATTCATTGGCTAAGTCTCTATTCTGCTTTAAAGTAGACCGTGACGTCCTTGAAAGAAACAATGATGTCAATGCACCTGTATCAGAATTGTCATGAGATGGGAGTAGGGACAGAGACATGGCAAGTTGCACTTGCACCTAGAATGCTGCAAGAGTCTGAGCTCTTTTTATTACTGGATGTTTTCATGCTGCAGTTGTACAGTGTAGCTATTATTTTTTTCTTTGGTCTGTGTGTGTGTGTGTGTCATATATATATTGAATACCTCATTACATTATGAGGTGGGATAGTGTAAAGGCTTTCTTGGCATGAGTTTGGCATGGGCACATGACTCACATGTGGGCTTGACACCTACTCTGTAAATGAGTCCACTTCCCCAGGTAGGTTTTGAATAAGTTCTTGGGGAGACTGCAATATTTCTGTGTAAAGAAAAAACATTCTAGATCATTTGCAGAAGTTTCTTAAACAATGAGTTAGAGGAACAGATGGTGGAAGCTGTAATTGTCTTCAAAGGAGCTACACTGATTTACACCAGCTAAGAATATAGTGCAGAATTTTTTTTCTTGGTCCAAGCCTGTACAGTTGGACACACAGGGATGTATTTTCCAACTTGCAGTAGAACCTCAGAGTTATGAACACCAGAAGTGACCAGTTAAACACACCTTATTTGGAACTGGAAGTAAGCAATCAGGCAGCAGCAGAGACCAAAAGAAAAAGAAAAAAGTAAATACAATACAGTACTGGGTTAAACATAAACTACAAAAAAAAATTAAGGAAAAGCAGCATTTTTCTTCTCATAGTACAGTTTTGAAACTTTACCAAGTCAATGTTCAGTTGTAAACTTTTGAAAGAACCATAAACCATAACGTTTTGTGCAGAGTTACGAACATTTCAGAGTTACAAACAACCTCCATTCCCGAGGTGCTCGTAACTCTGAGGTTCTACTGTACTTTGCTGAAGTTGGGTGTCTAACTTCTTATTTAGACACCCAATTGATGACTATGACAATCATCATTAGGTTCCTGAATACCTAAGTAGGTGCTAATTTAGCACCTAGGTCTGACATTTCGCCCCTTGGCAATTAAGGCAGTTTAGCTTAACCTGAAGAGGGGATGTTACTCCTGGGTAAATTCAGTGCCAAAAAAATTAAAATTCTGTGCACAATATTTTAAAATTCTGCAAAAATCTGTACATTTTATTTGTCAAAATAACAGTATACAGTCACACCAGTTTCAATTATTTTGGTATTTCATTACAAAATACCTATCAGCAACTATATAGTGTAGACTAGTGGTTTTCAAAGCCACAGCCAGCACATCCCTCTGCCTGCGCCGCTTCCCGTAGCCCCCATTGGCCTGGGACGGCGAACCGCGGCCAGTGGGAGCCACGATCGGCAGAACCTGCGGATGCAGCAGGTAAACAAACCGGCCCGGCCCGCCAGGGGCTTTCCCTGAACAAGTGGCGGACCGGCTTTGAGAACCACTAGTGTAGACCAGCCCAATGTCTGTAACAATACAGACACAAAAAAATTCCTGCAGGAGTAGAGTTAAGGAAAGCCCTACAACAACCAAGTTCCTGTTTCTCTGCCCCTTCCCCACAGAGCCCAGGAGGGGGGCCAGACATCCACACCTCCTCCCCCTCCAGAGCCCAGCTGCCAGGCCCCCCCCCCCCCCCCACCGCAGCCCAGACACTTGCATCCCATCCCCCACAGAGCGCAGGGATCCAGAGGGAGAAACAGCCTGATGCTGGGTCCAGGACTTGTATGGAGTTTCATGCACGGTGCCTCCTTCCTTCAGGGCGTGTGGGGAACTGCAGCTGCCCGGCACCCTCTAGCTTCCTCCCCCTCCCTCTGGCTCTGCTGGGTCCAGTGCCCCCTAGTAGCAGCCAGCAGCTCTGCAGCCCATTTCTGTGGCGGGGGGAAGGAAATTGCGCAAAAACATTAATTTCTGTGCAAATTCTGCATTGCGCAGTGGTGCAGAATTCCCTCACAAGTAGGATATTAAGAATAATACCAATGCAATTCTCTGAGATATTTGTAAAGCATTCCCCCCCGTAATTCATATGGTTTATGTGGGATAAATAATGGTGTTGTGTTATTGCCATTTGGGAACAATGCAATCTTCCCAAATTCAGGCCAATAAGATACTTATACCACACTAAAATAAATAATAGCAGAAGCTGACATCTGAGAGTCTAGAATACACATAGACATAGTCAGTAGTGTTTTCTTTCACATACAAATAATGAAGTTCTATGTATGTACATATTTTTAGAGAATGATCTGTGTTATTTACTATTTTTATACTGGTCTATTGAAATGCATGTAGAGGCTACTGAATATATTAAATAACTATAATGATGATTATATATGGGTTTTGTTGCAGTTCTGATGCCTATGCCTTAGCTATGCAGAGGTAGCCAATTATATCTGAGATAATAGGTCAAATACTTCTATGTAAGTGTTATTATTTAAGGCTGCCATGCTCCAAATATACAGTCACTACATCTAAGAGAAGAGGTTAAAAAAACCCATCAGATAGCATGGATGCTATACATATTTTTGATCACTCTGTGTTACCACTGCTGGTGGGAAGAGAATGTATGAAGGAAGGACAGAGGCAGAAGTCCTGTGCAGCGTTGGACTCTGTATTTTAAAGGATAGCTGTTGACCCACATTTTCCCCTTCATCCAAATTGTACTATGGCTCAGGCTCTGATGCATGACTGGCCTGGGGTACTAATGATTACATTGATCCTATGCATGCAGTGACTAGGGGGCCACAAAGAAATCGTTGCTCCAACATTGACTGTCATTGATCAGAAACACTGGTGTCAGATCTGCACTCTAGTTGGTCAGTGTGGAGCATGAATTAAAGCTGTTCCCTAGCTATTCATATTGAGGAAGGAACAGTGGTAGCTATTAGTGTGTGTGTGTGTGTGTGTGTGTGTGTGTGTGTGTGTGTGTGTGTGTGTGTGTGTGTGTGTGTGT